GACGGTTTTATCGGGATGTAACTCCCATCATAAATCGAGGAAGATCCGTGGTTCTTTTTGTCTTTAGCCTGAGGGCAAAGGGTCCACACACCGTGTTCAAAAAAGTTACTTGAGATAGTTTGAAAAGGAATAACTTAAAAACATTCTTGGAGGAAGAGAGAAGTGCTATAAATTACTTTTGAAATATTTCATATAGGAAAAGAATATGTATATACACGCACACTATATAGGACAAATGTAAAATTATGGTGGTTATATATTTAATATAATGTTTTAGAAAAAACGTAGAAGTGTGAACTCTATAACTTCATGGATATTGTCACTAGGGATGAGGCTAAATTTATTGAAGGGAAGAAATTAAGTGGATGAGTTTGAGGAAAACATTCTGTAAATGTCAGCTCCAGTGGGGAAATGGAGCTGGACACGCCGGGCGCCCAGCCTGGGGCTCGGGGAAAGCTCTTCCCCGCCTCCAAGCTCATGACCTTCTGGAAAGCTCGTGTTTCTTAAAAATGAAAAGTTTGTGCTCCCTCATTTCCTTCTCATGTTCAAGATCCCGACAAAGGGACAGGACTCCTTGTTGGAGGGAACAAAGGAGAACCCCAGATTGGGTGCCTTCACGCATCCGGGCCCCCCTCCTGGCCAAGTTGTTGTGAGTTTGAAATTCCGGTAAATTGTGTGTGAGGGGCATTGAAGTGGGTGTTTACTCTGGGAAATTTTAGATTTCCCATCGGGATTGGGAGAAAAGGCAGGGAGAGGAATTCCAGAAAGTTCTGGAGCATTTAAAATTGGAATCTGGATAGTTCCCAGCTTTCAATAAACAAAGAAGTAGAGTTGGCAAAGAGTCAGACTCCGGATCTGCAAGGGGAGAGCTGGGCGCGGGAACAGTGTGCTCAGGGCGCAGACTCGGGGCGAAGCCTCGGGGCGAAGCCAGGGGGCAGCTGCTGGCCCTCCAGATACAGGCTCCTGAGAGCTCCTGGTGTTGGCTGTAGCAGATGCCTTTAATGTCTGTGCTGAGGAGCCGTCCAAAGGGCAGGCGAGTAAAGCAGACCGTAGCTTCCTGCTTTTCTTTTTCTCTTTTTTAAAAATGGCGATAAAATATACATAAATATAAAATTTACCCCTTTACCCAGGTTTAAGTGTACCGTTCAGGGGCATTAAGTGTATCCATGTTGGTGAACAGCCATCCCCACCATCCGTCCCCAGAACTTGTTCATCATCCCAGACTGAAACTCTGTCCCGTTAAACACTCACTCCCCCTCCCCCCGCCCCTGGCGCCCTCCATCCGACGCTCTGTCTCTGTGAGTGTGATTCCTCTAGGGGCCTCACATAACTGGACTCACACAGTATCCGTCCTTTTGTGACTGGATTATTTCACTCAGCATAATGTCCTTGAGGTTCGTCCACGCTGTAGCCTGTGTCAGAATGTCCTTCCTTTTTAAGGCTGAATAGTATTCTGTTGTGTGGATGGGCCCCCTTTTGCTTATCCATTCGTTAGTCAAGGGACATGGGTTGTTTCCGCCTTTTGGCTATTGTGAACAGTGCCGCTTTGCAGATGGGTGTGCAAAGATCTGTTCAAGATCCTACTTTCCATTCTTTTGAGTATATGCCTAGAAGTAGAGTTGCTGGATGACATGGTAATTCTGTTTAATTTTTGGGGGAACTGCCAGACTGTTTCCCACAGCGGCTGCATCTTTGACGCTCCCGCCAGCAGTGCGTGGGGTTCCAGCGGCTCTGCATTCACACCAACACTTGTTTTTTTCATCATAGCTGCCCTGGTGGGTGTGAACTGCTATCTCATTGCGGTTTTTATTTGCGTTTCCCTGATGACTACTGGTATTGAGCATCTTTTCCTGTGCTTATTGGCCATTTGCATATCTTCTTTGGAGAAATGTCTATTTAAGTCCTTTGCCCATTTTCGAAATTGGGTTATTAGCTTTTCTGTTATTGAGTTGTATGTGTTCTTTTTACATTCTGGTTGTTGATCCCTTGTCAGATTCATGATTTGCCAATATTTTCTCCCATTTGGGGGGCCATCTTTTCACTCTGTTGCTTGTGTTCTTTGATGCATAAAAAGTTTTCATTTTGATAAAGTGGGATTTCTCTATTTTTTCTTTTATTGCCTGTGTTTTTGGTGTCATTGAATTTGTTTCTAAGAGAGGAAAGAGCTCAGTGGCTCTCCTCTTGGAGACCAGGGGAAGATCCCTTGGTAAACCCTGAAGCTGTGCGCCGGCCTCTGGGATTGCCGAGCCTGCGGCCAGAGAAGCAGGCTTCGCTGCGACAGCGCGCTCACTAGTACACGTGGACTGAGCTTGGGTGTGGAGCTGCTGCTTAGCACTCACGCTTCGCCCGGGGGTGTGAGAAATGTGCACAAGAATGCTTGCTGCAGAATGGCTCGTCCCTGGAGCAGCCCCTAGCGCAGGGGTTAAGTTCTCGCACTCCGCTTTGGCGGCCTGGGGTTCGCCAGTTCAGATCCCTGTGCGGACATGGCACTGCTTGGCAAGCCATGCTGTGGCAGGCGACACACGTAGAGTAGAGGAAGGTGGGGACGGATGTTAGCTCAGGGCCAATTTTCCTCAGCAAAAAGAGGAAGATTGGCGGCGGATGTTAGCTCAGAGCTAATCTTCCTCAAAAAAAAAAAAAAAAAAAAACAATGGCTCATCATTGAGGAAAATTAGTGTTCTAGTATGGCGGAATGTTTAAATCCAGGGCAGGTGGTTTCTGAGATGGAAGATTATGCAGTGGGGAAACAGCAGGAAGAAGATATACATGTGACAGTGTAGCTAGTTCTCTGAGAGAAACTGCTGAGTGGAGAAGACAGGTCAGAAGGATACAATTGATGTCAAAATAAATACTATGTGTTTTCTCAGATAGGTGGATAAGAGAGGGAAAGAGGTCTGTAGCCCTGTGTGTGTGAAAAGTAGTTCTCTCTGAAGGGGGACAGGGCCCAGACTACAGGTGGAGGGCAGGCTTAAAACTTGATCTGCCTGGCTTTTTAGGAATATGGTAAATGTTTTGACGCCCTTATGTACTACTTCTACCATCTGTGTTGTTTCTGCGCCTGCTTCTGTTGATCACTTTTTCTCCTCATTATGGCGGGTATTTTTCACCCTCTTTGCACACCTGGTGCATCTCGGGTGGCTGCCCACATGAATGTTACCTCGTGGCAAGATGGATACTTTTGTATTTCCTCTAAATGTTCTTGAGCTTTGCTCTGGAATTAAGTTACTGGGAACAGCTTGAGCCTTTTGAAGCTTGCTGTTAAATTTTGTCAGGCAGAGAGCAGTCTTTATTCTCTTGGCTAACTTTTCCCCACTTCTCCCCCCACCCCCTTCTTTATGAGGTTTTCTACTCTGGCTGGTGGGAACTGCAAGCGTTTCCAGGCTGTGTGAGTTCCGAGGGCTGTTCCTGCTCCTTTCAGGTGCCTCTATCCCGGGCCTGGGCGCGTGGGCGTGCCTGTCAGCCTCAGACCCTTGGAGATCTCTGGACCAAAATCTACCTATCTAGTCTAGCTCCGTCCCTCTGCCCCCAGCTGTCTCCTCTCCAGGACTCTGCCCTGGAAACCGGAGCCTTCTTACCCTTCCCAGAACCTCAGCTTTGACTCCTCAACTCATTGTCTGAAAACATATCTTTTATGCATTTTTTCATTTGTTCCAGACAGGAGAGTAAATCTGATTCCTGTGGCTCCATTTTAGCCAGAAGTCTCTTTGGTTTCTTTTAAAGGAAGCAAGTTGATGTTTTAAAATAATTTAACATGTTTTAAGCCCTTATTAGACACGATGCCTTTCGTGTGTATTATTTTGTTTTTCCTTCCTATGACATGGGTGCTACTGTTAATCCCATTTACAGATAAGGGAATTGAGACACAGAGAGGGTGAGTGACTTGCCCAAGGTCACCCAGCTGGCATGTGTGGGGAGGAAGGAACAAATCTGGTCAGCTAGCTCTGGAGGCCATGCCTCTGACTCCACCCCTCCACTATCCATGCAATTAAGAGCTACTTTTTTCTTTTTAAATTGAGATGAAACTTACATAACTAAAATTAACCATTTTAAAGTGCACAATTGAGTGGCATTTATTACATTCACAGTGTTGTATAGCCATCGTGTCTGTCTAGTTCCAGAACATGTTTATCACTCCAAAGGAAATCCTGTGCCCATTAGCAGTCACTCCCTCTTCCTGTCTGCCCCCAGCCTCTGGCAATGACCAGTCTGCTGTGTGTCTATGGATTTGCCTGTTCCAGACATTTCAGATAAAGGGTATCACACACTATGTGGCCTTCTGTGTCTGGCTTCTTTCACTCAGCGTGAGGTTTTCAAGGTTCATCCATGAATCTTCTGATACCAAACCGGTATCAGGTTTGTGTGCCTGGTGCACAACAAGCTGATCCCTGAGACCGCGTGCCTGGAGATGGAGAAAGGGTTATTCAAGCTGGTCAAAACGAGGAGGCGAGGGGATAGGCTCTCTCAAATCCATTGTAAGGAAAGAAGAAATTGGGGGTCTTTATACAACTAAGGGACTCTGGCGGAGGAGTTTCAGAGAATCAAAGGGACCATCCATGTTTCTTTCACTCCAGATAAGCCCTGGGGCAATCAGACTTCTGTGATTGTAACTTCCTCCAAGGCATTCTTTTTCTTCTGAAAAACAGGCCGGTATATCCTTGTGACCTTTGAGTCACCCCTGAGGTTAAACAAGAAAACACCAAGTGAGCAAGATTAACTTCTCCTCTGTGTCTGTGATGGGAACAAGGCTGAAGGGTGGTCCTGTTCCTGTTGGATATTTGCAGTCCCCGGTTGCGGGTGCTGCCCTGGGGGCAGGAGGCCCGGCACTGTGGGGCAGGAGATGGCCAGGCCTGGTTTGCCAAAAAATCCATTTGCCAAACAAGACTCGGTGTATCCAACCAACCGCAAGCAGACGGGGCTGTGCGTGTTTGTCGGCCGTGCGGAGACCGGCCTCCGGGAGCGCGGCGCACGCTGGGTGCACGCGGGTGTGGGGGCGCGCGGGGCGGGGCGGGGGCGGGGGCGAGAGGCCGGGCGCCTGAGCTCTGCCGGCGCGGCTCCGGGGCCAGGCTGCGTCACCCAGTTGCACAGTCCGGGAAGTCGAAGGTTAGTTGCAAAGGAATCGTGAAGAGTAATAATACTAATGACCGGGAAAAATGATTGCGGGCGAATGAAATGTTTGACCAAGTTTGGTCCTCAGTATATTTTAGATGCTCTAAATCCGTGCCCCACCCCCGCCCCCGTCCCTGTCCCGGCTGCGCTCGCCTGGGCGCCCGTGTTTGGGCAGCCAGTTTGCACTCTTCCCTCGTCTGTCCAGCGTGGGATTTCTTGGGGGACACTCCCTGACCCCGCATGTCCCCTGGCTTGGCGAAAGGGACGGGGCCCCAGTTCTCAGTGTTGGCATTCGAGACTCCCTACATACCCACCAGCCCCACCTGCCCCGCAGTGTCCTCGTCTCCGCGGCACCCGGATGCGTCCCCTGTGGGGAGCACTTTGGAATTGTCTGTTGGTGAGGAGGGGCCTGCCTCTCCAGGCATCACATACCCTCCAGAGGAGCTGCGGGGACGGCCGTGGAGTGCGGACGCTGCACAGCAAGGTCACGGCGACCAGACGAAGGGATCCTGAAGCTGCTGCAGGAGACGCAGGAAGTCGCCGCCCCCGCAGGGCGCCGGCGCCCCGGAGCTCTTGACATCGCAGGGCAGCGTCTTCAACACTATGAAGAACGCTCAGCTTTCCTTATTGAGCCGAAACCTTCGTCCCCAAACGTCTCTGCCCGCCTCTGGGTGCCAAGCCTGGCAAGATCGTTGTTCCTCCGGTAAATTTGGTTCTGGGCCTACTGTGCGCTATGCCTTGGCCAGGCTGGGGGAAGGAGGGCTGGTCGCCGGCTCTGCCTGCAAGGAGCTGACAGGTGGATCCTGGCGACCACACTGAGAAGCCAAGGAAAGCCTTGATGTTTCCGCAGAAAAGTGCGCACACGGTGGTCCAGGGGCCATTTTTATACATAGTTAGTGCTGTCCTCAGATCCTCCTGGGCCCGAGCAGGTCGGAGGCTCCCTAGGGAGTCAGGCCCCTCTGTAAATGGGTACCGAGGTCCTTCTGCGTGCCGTGCGCCAAGTCTGTCAACAGCTCTTCTTGGGTGTGACAAATGGGGAAGGGGATGACCCCACAACAGCAGTAGTAGGGGCGTAGCCAGCATGATTTGAGCACTTGGAATGTGCCAAGCACTGCTTGGAACACTCAGTGTGAATTCTTTCATTTCATTCTTGTAACCACCTTGTGAGGTGAGTAGTTTCTTATCCCCGCTTTACAGATGAGGAAGCTGAGGCTCAGAGACATTAAGTTACTTGCCCAAAGTCACATAGGCAGGGTTCAAACCCAGGAGCCCAGCTCCAGAGGCCACAGCAGAGCCTCACACCAGGCCCATGGAGATGCAGAGAGAGTTCCAGACAAGTGGAGGGGAGGGGAGGAGGGCGGAGCTCGGGGGCAGGCCAGCACACGTGCCTGCTGCCTCTGCACAGGCGGTTGGGAGCCTCCTCACTTTCTGAGGATGAGTCAGTTTATGCCCAGGGAGAGCATTACCCCTGCAGCCCTCACTGAATGCGGTGACGCCCCCCTCCTCTCGCTGCTAGGAGCTGGAGAAGCTGGGGCTCGGCGACAGCGTGGACCTGCATGTGTATGAGATTCCAGTTGAGTACAAGACGGTGCAGAGGCTCATCCCCGCCCTGTGGGAGAAGCACAGCCCACAGGTGAGCAGGGCGGAGGCGGGTGCTTCCTCATCAGGACCTGCAGGTGGGTGGCCCAAATGTGGAGGATTTCTGGCTTTTTTTCCTGCTCTGATTATATGGCTGATGCCATGGCCTTATCCCCCAAAGGGCCACACTTTCCTGGGTTACCCTTGGAGGTAAGGGAGGAAAACAAATGTCTGCAACCTCACCAAGCCTGGCTCTGTGCCACTGGAGTTCTGTATCAGTGATCCAGGCACTTACCCAGTCATCAGCATCCTCTCATGGCCACTCAGCTTTGCTTTGCGTTTTGCTCTTGCTTTGGCAAAGATAGGTGGCTACTAGCTGATATCCTCCCAATTTAGCCCCTCAGCAGAAAGAGAACATCTTTCTTCGAAATAATTCCCCAAAGTCCATGGCTCATTCTCGTTGGCCACCTGGGGTCACATGCCAGTCCCTGAGCCAATCACTGTGGCTGGTGAGGAAGAAGGAAGGCTCTGACTTGTGAGGCCTGTGTCACATGCCCACTCTGGTGGCCAGGGGGTGCTGTCACCTCTCTCCAAACCTCCTGAAATGAGAAGAGCGAGTAGCAGTTTCCACAAAGGGAAAATAGGTGTGGGAGGCAGCTGTGGCTGTTACCGGATGTGGCGGACTGGAGGACTGGCAGGTGGGAGCCACACCCTCCCACTACAGGGACCTGTGAGGGCCCCACACAGCCTCCCAGCCTAGCCTGCCATGCGGGATTCTCCAGGGTTGGCCGGAGGAATCTTCCTTTCTAAAGAGCCCTCCTGTCACATCTCAGGCGGAATTTGCCCTTTCTCACAGCAGGGGGCCTGGAGGCTTAGCGAGATGTGGCGAAAGTTCTGGAATGGGCTTTTTCTTCTGCTGCCTCTGCACAGTCCTGCCTTATTCTAGTTAAAAAAGCAAAACCAGCCCTGATGCGTGAACATCTTTTTACACATTTCACACCATAGGGGAAGGGATAAAGAAAAAGGGTTTTGGAGTCAGGCTGTTGCTGCTAAGCCGCGAGATCTCAGGCGAGCTCCTTGGGCTCCCTGGGCCTCAGTTTCTTCCTGTGACAGGTGGGAACAATCATAGTACTAAGAGTCAGCCACCCAATTCCAGTGTGGCTGTGGGGGGTGGGGGTGGGGGCGTTCCCCACACCAAGCAATTCTCCGACACCAGCTGCGTGTCCTGCGTTCAACTCAGTTCTGACGCTGTTCTCCCAGTGACAGCATCAGATCCCAGGGGGAGCGCTCAGTCTCACAAGACCACCCCCCTTCAGATGCCAAGCACGAGTCCAGGCCGTCACCTGAGCTTCTGACTGATAAGCTGTAAATCAGAGGTCCCCGGGACCCCCTACCTGGGTCCGATTAATTTGCTAGAGCGGCTCACAGAGCTCGAGAGACCCGTTTACTCCCTAGACTGCTGGTTTATTACAAAGGGTATAACTCAGGCAGGGCCAGATGGAGGAGATGCAGAGGGCAAGGCCTGAGGGGAGGGGCACGGGGCTTCCATGCCCCCTCCAGGTGCCCTGCCCTTCCAGCGCCTCCCTGCTCACCAGCCCAGAAGCTCCCGGGACCTAAACCATTTAGGTTGTTATGCAGGCTTCATGATGCAGACACGATGAGTTCAATCAGCCGTTGGTAGTTGACCTCAACCTCCAGCCCCTCTCCCCTCCTTAGGGATCGGGGGGTGGCCCTGAGAGTTCTAATCCTCTCATCTCATGATTGGGTCCCCTGGCAACTGGCCCCACGCTTCCTTCCAAAGTCACCTCATTATCATAATGTGATTTATCACTCTCATCACTTAGGAAGTTCCAAGGTTTTAGGAGCTCTGTGCAGGGACAGTGGACTAACAACACATATATTTCTTGTTATAAGTCACAACATCACAAGTAACCACATCCTGAGTCTGTGGTGAGGATGAGGGAGGTGAGGCCAGAAGGGCCACGGACAGTTCTCAGCCTACCCCAGAGAGTCCCGGCTGAGCATCCTCTCCAGGGGGCCGTCCAGGTGTGGAGCAGCATCCCTGGCCCCCACCCACCAGATGCCAGGAGCATCCCACCCCTGAGTTGTGACAACCCAAAATGTCTCCAGACATTGTCAGCCTCCCCTGGGGGGTGGGGCTGGCCCTGGTGGAGAACTGATCTGTAGCAGTAAGCTCTTAGTAACAGTTAACTAGCACCATGGTTATTGTCACGTTATGGCTCACACGGTCTTCACGCACATACACGAGCCTCCCTACGTGTGCATGGACGCGCCCGCGCCTGTGTGCTGGTTAGTGTACTGCGTGGATGAGGTGCCTGGGGCTGCCCTCCCAAATGACCACAAACTGGATGTCTTAGAACAGCAGAAATTTCTTCTCTCTCAGTCTGGAGGCCAGACGTCTAAGACCCGGGTGTCGCAGGGCCGCGCCATCTCTTCCAGCTCCTGGGGGCTCCAGGTGTGCTCGGCTTGTGGGCGCGTCACATCCCCCAGTCGCTGCCTCCGTCCCCACACAGTCTCCTCTCTCTGTCTCCTCTGTGTGTCTCTTTTCAGGACATTGGTCACTGAGTTTCAGGTGCACCCACATAATCCAGCATCACCTGATCTCAGGATCCTTAATGACATCTGCAAAGGCCCTTTCTCCCAGTAGGGTCGCAGTCACAGTTTCTGAGTTAGGACAGGGACATATCTTTCTTTTCGGTGGTGGCAGGATCACCATTCAGCCCTCTGTACTAAAGCTGCTGTTTTATTCCTGCATCACCAGTGTTCAGTCCATGGGGCAGCGGGTAACACGGCGCCAGCGGCCGGGCCTCCAGGAGCGGAGAGACCAGCTCCCGGAGAGTCGGGCTGCTGAGCAGCATGCCGGCTCCACAGGGTGCTTTAAACTTCCGGCAGCCACGTTTAAAAACCAAAAAAAGATATAACTCCGTATATCTAAAATATTATCATTTCAACATGTAGTCAATATTTTAAAGCTATTAATGAGACATTTTACATGTGTTTTTTGTGCCCAGACTCCAAAATCTGCTGCGAGTTTTACACTGCCTGCACATCTCGATTTGTACCAGCCACACCATAGCCACGTGTGGCCCGAGGTGTCATGTGGGCCGCGAGCTCCCCTGCCTCTGCTGTGGATGCTTACACATTCTCTTGTGGGGCTCCTCCTGTGTGTAAGCGTGCACGCGAATAAGACGCGGCTGAAGTTAAACGGTCGTCACTTTGGGACCCTGCCTTTTATAAATGTGTTATCATGAGCATTTAATCACTTAGGTCATTAAAAATTCTTCCTAACATTATTTTATTTAGGTATTTTTACAATTTTATTGAGGCCATATTGGTTTATAACATTGTGTAACTTCAGGTGTACATTATCATATATCAGGTTCTGTATAGACTGCATCGTTTTCACCACCCGTAGTCTAGCTTTTAGTCCCTTTTGTGCCCCTTGACCCCTTTTGCCATCCACAGGCCCCCTTCCCCCTCGTAACCACTAAACTGTTCTCTTTGTCCGTGTGTTTATCTTCCACATATGAGTGAAATCATACGGTGCTTGTGTTTCTCTGTCTGCCTTATTTTGCTTAACATAATACCCTCCAGGTCCATCCATTTTGTTGCAAATAGGATGATTTTGCCTTTTTTATGCCTGCGTAGTATTCCATTGTGTATATACACCACATCTTCTTCATCCAGTCCTCAGTCGATGGGCACTTGGGTTGCTTCCATGTCTTGGCTATTGTGAATAATGCTGTGGTGAACATAGGGGTGCGTAGATCTTTGTACTGTTGCTTTCATGTTCTTTGGATAAATACCCAGTATTAGGATAGCTGGATTGTACGGTATTTCTATTTTTAGTTTTTTGAGAAATCTCCATACTGTTTTCCATAGTGGCTGCACCAGTTTGCATTCCCACCAGCAGTGTGTGAGGGTTCCCTTTTGTCCACACCCTCTCCAACGTTTGTTATTTCTCATCTTGTTAATTACACCCAGTCTGACAGGTGTGAGGTGATATCTCATTGTAGTTTTGATTTGCATTTCCCTAATAATTAGTGATGTTGAACATCTTTTTTTTTTTTCTCATAACTTTTTTCTTTTTGGTGAGGAAGATTAGCCCTGAGCTAACATCCATGCTAATCTTCCTCTATGTTATATGTGGCACACCACCACAGCATGGCTTGATGAGTGGTCTGTAGGTCTGCACCTGAGATCTGAACCCATGAACCCTGGGCTGCTGAAGCAGAGTGTGCCAACTCAACCGCCATGCCACTGGGCTGGCCCCTGTACGTCTTCTCATGTGCCTGTTGGCCATCTGTATATCTTCTTTGGAAAAATGTCTGTTCATATCCTATGCCCATTTTTTTATTGAGTTGTTTGCTTTTTTGGTGTTGAGCTGTATGAGTCCTTTATGTATTTTGGAGATTAACCCCTTCTCAGACATATGATTTGCAAATATTTTCTCGCAGGTGGTGGGTTGTCTTTTCGTTTTGTTCATAGTTTCCTTTGCCTTGCGGAAGCTCTTTAGTCTGATGTAGTCCCATTGGTTTATTTTTTCTTTTGTTTCCCTTGCTGAGTAGACATGGTGTCGGAAAAGATCCTTCTAAGACTGATGTCAGAGAATGGATTACCTATATTTTCTCCTAGCAGTTTTATGGTTTCAGGTTTTACATTCAAGTCTTTAATCCATTTTGAGTTAATTTTTGTGTATGGTGTAAGATAATGGTCTACTTTCATTCTTTTGCCTGTGGCTGTCCAGTTTTCCCAGCATCATTTATTGAAGACTTCCCTTTCTCCATTATGTGTTCTCAGCTCCTTTGTCGAAGATTAGCTGTCCATAGATGTGTGGGTTTATTTCTGGGCTTTCAGTTCTGTTCTATTGATCTTTGTGCCTGTTTTTGTACCATGCTGTTTTGATCACTATGGCTTTGTAGTACATTTTGAAGTCAGGGATTGTGATGCCTCCAGCTTTGTTCTTTTTTCTCAGGATTGCTTTGGCTAGTGGGGTTTTTTGTTGTTCCCTATAAATTTTAGGATTCTTTGTTGTATTTCTGCAAACAATGTCATTGGGATTCTGATTGCGATTGCA